TAAAGTATAAAAATCAACTTAAGTAACTGAACGGAAATACACAGAATTATTTTCTAATTTGACAAATTGTTGGGGAATTATAACTAATATTTTGCAGTGCTATTGTTCATAGAATTCAACTAATTTTAAAAAGAAATTTTCTTATAACAATAAAATTTTCCAAAATTTTATTCAGAATTTTCTTAGTTTTGAGCAGTAAAATTTTGTTTATATTTGATAAGTTTTGGGATAAAAACAAAATAATTTTCCTATCGCCTAAACTTATGCAATATTTGATTAAAAACTTTCTACAAAACTTTAACGTAACAAAAGTTATTAAGAAGAAAGAAATTAATTTAAATTTTTTATAATCTCTTTAAAAAAGTTTTCTCTCTCTACTTTAAAAAAAAAACAATAATATTTTTCTTTCGAAGTGTTGATATACAAAAAGTTTTTTGTTTGTTATAAAAGTTTTAGACTTTTGAAATTATGTTTTGTAGCAGCATTTTTGGTTTTCATTCTGCATCTTGAAACCAATATTTTTTTCCAACACTTTGTACACACAAGCTAAATAGTGAATAATAGTAATAATATTTTTTAATGATTATGATAATAGTGATGAGAACCATAATAATAAATGACAATAATAAAAATGATGATGATGACAATCTAGAATAAAAATAGTTTTACAACATTTGCTGCACTTTTCAACAATTTTCATTTTTTTTTTTAAACAAAATTAGTCTTTTTACAACATTTTTTTTTTGTTCTAGTTGTTATCCTTTTTTCAAGAAAGAAGATAAATGTATATATATGTTTTTCATTAATGTGTGTGTGTGTGTGTATAAATGGTAATTGTACATATGGGGCGTTTAAAAGTGCCTATTTCATAAAATTTATGATTAATAAAAAAAATATAAAGTTTTCCGGTTATAAAATTAAAGAAATAAAGGAATTAAAAAGGGTTATAAATTTTAGAGAGCAAGAACATATTCAAATTAATACCTGAAAAGCTACAACGTGTTGAAAAAAAAACTGAACGGATTCATCCTTAGAACGTAACTTCTAAATAGAATTTATGAAAATACAAAAAAGATTCTTAAATATTTCGTCTATGTGTTTTTTTTTTACTAAACAATATACGAGTATAAGAAAACAGGATGAATATTTCGTTATTAAATTACTTATTTATTAATTTTTAATTAATTTTATTTTTGTTTTGATATTTTAATAAATTTAAAACATTTCTTAAAAGAAGATTTCAATACAAAAAATTGCAATTTCATTTGCGCAATTTATGAAAACTTTTAGAAAGGTATCTTTGAATTTGGTTCTAAAAGTTTTCATATATTATAACTTTTGCAAAGAAGAGAATGAAATGGAAAGAAAATTTCGATTTTGAAATCAAACCCTTGTAGTTTGGGTTTTTGAAGGAATAAAGTTGTTTGTTGTCACTTATTTTAATATTGAATCTCACTTGTTCATTAAAAATTGTTTAAATTAACAGCTTATTCAATTAATAATTATTAATGATTAATTCGATTACATTTTATTTCGCTATTAAGAAATTCACATTTTAAAATTGCAATCGAAATCTCTACAAAATTATTATTGCCATAAATTAAATCACAATTTGAATTATAGTGGAACAGAATTGTAAAAGCGTTTGTTGTAATAATTTACAAAAAATATAAATATTTTCTACTAGGACATTAATTATTTTGATTTACAATTTTTTTTTCTAACAAAGCCCATCGAATAGGATGAGTTGCTAAACTTTATTACAAACATTTCGTTTTCCTTTTTTTATGAAAATAATTAAATGTAAAAATAATAGTCCTAAGATTTTACAATTTATTATTATTATTCTTCAACATGATAATTAAATTATCTGTTTATTTTTTTCGTTAAAACGAAAAATATGTCTTAAGAACGTTTCTATTTGATTTTTTATATATAATTTTTATGTATAAAATTCTGCTATAGTGTGTTTCATGTTAAACATAGAAAAAAATTTTGGGACTCGTTTTTATGATTGAAAATATCAAAAAGATTTTCTTAACGTTTGAAAAAGAAAGAAAAATATTTGAAAATTATTTGAAAATTGGTTTCGAACCTATTCAAATTTCACCATTTTAAATAAATGGAAATTTCATTTTTATTTCTATTTTCTTAGAATTGAATAATGCCAAAAAGCATTGGTGTTTGAAATTTTATGGAAAAATACAAAAAAAAAAAAAAAACAAATATTTAAATTATCATTCTATTTTTTATGTTGAAACTGAAAAATGAGAAATTGGTTGGTTTTTTTCTTCTATTCTTTAAAAAGAAAAATAAAATTAATTTTTTTCTCTCTTTGGAATATTCTTTTAAAAATGAAATGAAACAGAAAGGAACCAATTTTTTTCTTTTCAAATTGTTTTTCATTTTTGTTTTCCTACTGAAAGGAAGTTCATTAATATTTTTTAAGCTGCCTTTCTTTTACAAAAGTAAAGTAGGACAAGAAGTAGGGCAATATATAAAGAATAATTTTTGTTAATTTGAAATTATAATTGATACCTCAAAGAAGCGATACTCAATCGATTCGCATTTAATGCAACAAAAAGTATATAATATGTATGTATGTATTTATATTAGATATAGCCAAATATTGTATTGAGATCTCTTCTTATCATACTACTACGAACTAATATACTACAATGCAAGGGCGTTCAATTTTATGTTGTACTCAGAAGAATATAAAACGCTGCTTGTTTTGCAATTCCTTTTCTAAGGAGTATAGGTATTTATTTTGGTACATAATACTGAATTGTCATACCGTACGAAGAAGTAATAAATTTCGCTTTCCAAAATTTTCCATTATATGCCTACGAGTATACTATATTCAGCTATAAAACATCAAAAAAAATTACTGTGTTAAATTAAAAAAAATAACAAATTTGCTGACACACATTTCCAATTTTTAATAATTAATTTTAAACTGTTGTAAAGTAATAAAAAAAAAACAATTTCCATTGCCATTTTATACAGTACGAGTATAACAAAACTTTACTAGCACATATTATAGGTGTATGAAATTTCCCTAAAGACATCATAAATAATTTATGTTTGTACTATTTACTACACTATAAAAATATTCAAGTCAAATAAAATGAAAACATTTTAATGAATTCAAAAAATAAAAATATTCGTATGCTAGCCTAAACGTATGAAAGGAACTATTACTAAAAATTTTGCTAAAATGAAAAACCAAAAATAACAAAAAGGGCGAAGGTGTCAAATTAATAGATGGTCTTTTTGTGAATCTTTTGTAATAGATGGTCTAGTTGTCATCAATTTTTCATAAAATAGATTTAAAATTATTAAAATCAAATATGAATATTCATAATAAATAATATATAATACGGTTGCTGGAAAATTTAGAAAGTCTAGGAAAGTAATTTTCCTTATGTAAAGTCAAATGAAAAAGAGAATTTATGAAAATATTTTTATGAATATTTATGTGTTGTGTATGTAAGTATATAAAAAAGTTGTCTTAAATTTTATTTTTAACTTTAAATTTGTAGCTCTAAAATCATTTTAAATAATGATCGTATGATATTAAGGTGAAGGCAATTTCAAACTAACTGTAAGGATATTAAGGAAAAACAGTGCAGTGCTTTGAAAATTTTACTTTTAACATTAATTATTACGATTGGAAATTTTGTTTTTATTGCAAAAAAACAATCAATTACCAGTTAAATGTTAGTGTATCATTAGAGCTGATCGAACAAACTATCAGCGTAAAATCACCACACTAAATATTTCTTTACAGAATAAATTAATTAACAATTTACTTACAAAACATTTTTTTAAATTAAAGTTATTAATGGAGTTCCATGTATTAAAATATTAATTGAAGTTTTTATTAAGATTTTCAAATAATTTTTAAAGAATTAATTTAAAAGGAAATTTATAACTTTTCGAAACATTTTTAAACCCAAACCAGAAATTTTCGTTATTTAAGCAACATTAAAATGAAAAATTACTTTTTTGTGTTTTGTGTTTCTTTTAAAACAGTTTTCAGTTTCTATTGTGACCCCTAAATCTGATATAATTTTTTTGATATTTTTTATACTATTTATTTTGTATTGTAAATTTTGAATATTAACTTATTTATTCTTATATATTTGAGTTTTCTTTCAACCTTTTCAAATGAAATCGATTTATTTTTGAATGAAAAAAAAAATGATGATAAAATTAAGAAAGAATCAGAACGATTGTTTACATACAGTTACAGAGTCAATTTAAGAATCGTCCAGGAAACCTTAACATTCGATTTTAATTTAGCTTCAATTTAGAAGTAAAACAAAAACTGAATTATTTTTTAACCCTCGCCAGTAAATGAATAAATTTTCAAAAATTAAATTTGTTTTTTTTTTCAACACTAACACCAGCAACAATCCCAGAAATCAAAAACTTTCAGAACTTCACCTATGCCGCCTAAAAATTATGTACGAATTAAAAAATGATTTACAATAACAAAATAAGGATATTGATTTGACAAATAAGTAACATTCGTAAGAAGAATGTATGAAAATTTGAGCATCCTACATTTATGCAATTTTTTCACTAAGAAAAATTAAGCTAAATATTGAATTTTTTTTTTAAATTTAAACGAATCTTAATTTTATCATATTATTAAAGGAGAAATGTTAATAGTATTTTCGGAATTCAAATAACAAAAGTATTCGGAAATTTGTAGAAATTAATTCAATAAAATAGTGCCTGTTTAATAAGTTGATTTTTGCAACATTTGCTATGAAATTATGTGGAATACATAGATTCTAAAACAAATGCACTGTTGCAAGTAGAAGTTCGATTTAAAAAAATCTATTCCAAAATATTTAGTAATTTTCTATCTGACAATTTAGCCAATAGATTCAATTGTTTAAGCTTCGGTTAAGTTTTAATTCACTATAAAATTTTTATTTTATAATTTCATTATATAAAATTTTAATTTGTTAATATTAGGCACTTACCTCATTAATTCAAATGTTATACACAAATGTTTCCGAAAATATGTATAATCTAGCATATGTATAACATTATGTTGACCATCTGAATCCTTTTCCTTTAATTCATCTAATATATTCAATTCAACAACAGCCTGATTTAAAAATCTTTTTTTATTTCTTATTATTTTTATAGCTACATGTTCATTTGTTTTATGATCAAGGGCACGTATTACTTGTCCAAAACTACCTTTACCAATTATTTCGAGTATTTCATATCGAAATGCGATATGATCATGTTCAACCTTTAAAAAAATTGTTTTTAATGTTAATATTTGAATTTTAAATTGCACATTACAATTAAATATTATTTAAATAAAAAATTGCAAAGTAATGACAACTTACAATTTTATAATTTCCATTTTCATCATCATAACCACAATTTAATGTTGTGCCAGCTTTACCATTAATTTTATTTGCATTTTGTCCATAATACCAAATCTCATTATAGATTTTTAATTCATCAAATTCCATTTCTGTTAAATGATTACTATATTTTTTAATTAATTCTGTAATTAATAAGAGAAAAATAAAAAATTTTAGAGTGTTAATTTTTCTTTCAGTGAAAAGGTGATTAAATTATTTAATAATTTAATGATTATACTTTATAATTTTTTAATGTCCTTTGTACTTCTAAAACTTTTCAATTGTGCAGGTATGGGTAACAAGGGTATTTTCTCATATTTATAACAACGAAAACCAAATTTCAATTTTGATTACTTTATCAATATTTTATTTTTAATTCAAAGTTAAAAATTTTTTCAATTAAGGACAAAAACTTCAAGGGGAGTTCTGGTTAAATTTCAGTGAAAATCAAGGCTCCACTTAAATACTTGCTAAAATACAACGAGAAGATTAAAACTCGAACAATTTTGATTAAATTCGTTCGTACGTATACTAGACTGGTCCTTTTTTTCAGAGGATTTAACGCTTTTCATGTTTCAAATTCATATCCTTATTTACATTGTGGTAAATTTTCAAACTTTTTACTTTGATGTGATTGGAAATTTGTGTTTTAACTATTTATTGACCAGGATATATTAAGGATATATTAAAAGTCATAAGTCTTTTTGTGTTTATGCTTCCGTAAACAAATATCAATAATCTATATTAAAAAATATAGCAAAACTTGAGATACAAAAAATATTTACTCTGCATAAAATCATTTATACTAACTATAGAGATTGAATATACTATTTCTTTTGTTTTGTAGCACCAAGGGCTTTCATAGGTGCAAAAGGTTAATATGAAACTATAGGTACAAAACGTATTATTTATTATTCAAAGATTAAAAAGTTCATATATGAAATACCGACTGAATAAGAATGCAGAAGCTTGAAAACTATGTACTTATTTAGATTTAATCCGAACGATGTTAGATATAATATGAGCTAGCTTGTGTGCAAATGTGTGTCAAAGTTGATTTTTTAATGTATGCAAACACATTTTCATATACAAATATATTCTATATAAGGCTTCTTTTAGTTCAACAATTCAAAGAAAAGCCATTTAAAAAGTAAAAAAGCACAACATAAGAAGAAAAGAATAAAATGATAAAATTCGTGCTTAACATAATTTTTTGAAAAGATGCCAATAAACGTCACAGAGATTTACTTTACTGATATAAAGAGAAAACTTTTATATTATTCTTGCAATTTTATTTTGCTCTCTTTGCTGTGAATGTAAACACTAGCATAACACTGTTGGCATAGTTATACTATATATTGCATAAATATAAAAAGTGCATATTGTGTTGGTACTTTTAACTAGCCAAAAGTTTGCAGATAAAATAAAAATAGTGCAGATATAATTTTGTGGATTTTCTTAAAGAAACGAGTCCCCTCAACTTTTTTTTCTTTTCTTTATTCTATACTTTAATTTATGTGGATAACCAAGGATGATTGCAATATTTTTTTTGGATTTAATCCAAAAAAAAATGAAAAGGGATTTTTGGTATGTTTATTTAGAAGTAAATAGCCAAAAACGAACAATATAATGGGAAAAACAAAATAAAGGCATGATGAAAATTAAATAGCAAAAGAAGAGCATTTATGTAGATTTTTTGAAATTTTAGACTCATGTGCATGGGTCAGAATAAGATTCCATCAGTCTAAGGTTCTAGTTTGGAGATTTTATACAATTTTTATCTGAAATTTTATCAAAAAAGGCAACTGTATAAAATATCACAGGTTCCCCTTTAATAATTGAAGCAAATAAGACTCAAAAAATTGCTGTATTAAACATACTTCGGATGAGCATAGCATTAGTACATATTATAAAAAACAAGTGTCTTACTAGCCCTATTGTTGAATTAAATTTTCAATTAAATCAGTTAAGTTATACATTAAGGTAGGATCTTATTATTCAATTACAATTTCCAAGAAGTAAAAATCGAAAACTGAAGTTTCTAATTAAATTTGCATGAATATAATTTGGAAGGGGAGAAATTGTCTTGTAAAAGAAAAATTTCTTATAATATAAAAAATTTTAGATTATTATACATGCCAAATATACGTATTGCCTAATTCAATAATTTTACATTAATCAATTTATAACAATAACTATAATCTAAATTTATGATAACAAATATTCTATGAATGTTCGTGTTCCTTCCACAGACGTTCAACAAAATTTTATCAAAGTAAAGTTCTTTATTTTTGTGAGTATACACACATATAATTTGATTTTTATGATTTCAATTTCTTTTAAAATAAAGTTTTGTGCAGCACCCACATATAAAAAAATTTTTCAGAAATATTTTAATAATCTAAATTCTAGCACAAATTGTTTTTTTCCATGAAATATGTTTTTGAATTTTCATCTTATATTTTGTGATGAACACCTTGAAAGGATACCCATAACAAAATTTACGTAGTAGATAATTTTAGAAATAGTGTAGGTTAATAAAATATGCATAAGAGTATAGTCATTCTATTATACAAAAAAAAATCTTATGTAAACAAAATTTATATTTTCAATTTATCTATTCTACCTTTTATAAAATGAAAACTGAAATTTTTTTTCTAATATAACTTAGTTTTTGTTATGTTAAATCCTTAGCATCCTTACTCAATTTTTACTTCTTAGCATAGGGATGCGGTCCTTTTGTATATTTCTTCTTACCCGATGAAAATTATTTTATTTTATGAAGAGAGGTGAAAAATAAAAATTTTTCTTTTTTGTTCTTGTTCCTTTGGTTAAAAAAATAACATTTTAATATTTTTTTTTATTATTTTAATTTTAAAAGTAACGTAGAAATAGTCATGCACATATGCTGTATACGTACTTATACATGTATTGTAAGTGTGTATGTTTGACTGGTATTTTTAAGGATATATTAAAAGTCCTTGATTTTTTGATAAAAATAAAGTTTTCATTTTTTATTTACCAATATGAAAACCTACGCTATTTTACACAATATTTCATTTTTTTTAGTTTTGTTTCTTTTTGAATTGTTTTTTCATCTCAATGACAATACGTTTTCATTTTTTAAATGTATATTTTGGTTTTTTTTTTAAATGAACAGAGTGATTAATATAAATTCTATGATAATTTTATAAAATGTCGTGGTATATTAGAGAAATAGAAGAATTTTAAATTAATTAAATTACTCTAACTAATATTCATAATTGTATACATTTCTTATCCCTTAATTTGTTTATTAGATAGTTCTTCGATATTTTTGTTAATAAAATTGTAAGCTTTTCGAATTTCGAATTAAAATTCTACATAATTAATATTTGACTTACTCAAACCTTCAATTGTTTTTCTAAAATTTTTTTTACGTATCAAAAATTAACGCCTCTATAAAAATAATTTCAAAGAAACTGAATTTTTTGTTGGCAATTATTTTTGCTAAATGCAAAACTAAAATGCACATAAGATTTGAATACTTAGAAAATCTTACAATTGAATTTTTTAATTTTAAGTTTTTTTTTATTAATTTCATATTGTACGCTTCTAAGTTTTGTTTTCGTATAGCAAAAATTTAAAAATAATAAAAGTGAAAATGCGAAAAAACCTCAAACCTAAATTTTTTATTTTTTACTTTAAAAAAGAAAAAAACAACTTAATTTATTTAGTGAACTGCTTAAAAAATTGTACCATAGATCTATAAAAATATTTTGCCAATTTTAAATTGTAAAATTCAATAGTTTCAGAAATTATTTTATAAAGAAGAGTGAGACGAGATAGGGGGGCATAAAATCATTTTTCGAATCATTTTGAAACAATGTTTGCTTCTAAATGATTTTTTCGAGAGTGATGAAAAAAAACAAAATTGAAATCTAATTTTAAATTGTTTTTAAATTTTTATTGAATATTTTCTTTTTGTTCTTTTCCTATGTTTTAGTTGACGGTGTTTTAGGTTATACACTAATTGGCAGTAAAATTTTCTTTCCGGATTCCAGATGTCTAAAAAATTTTTAAAGCTATTTTGAATTTTTGTTTTCTTATTTTCATTTGTATTTAAGTTAAATTTTTGTATATTTGAGAAAAAAAAAATTCAAATTTTTAGAACAATAAAAAAATTAAAAAATTTTGTGAAATAAATTTAGAATTAAATAAATAAAATATTGAAATTAATTGAACTGTAGAGAAATTATTTGTACACACACGTAGAAGTTTCTAATGCGGCCGTAGTTTTAGAAATAATGATAATACTAGAACTGGAAAATGAGCATTCAAATGAAACCTTAAATAAATGTATGAATACAAAATTTGCAAAATTTTGTGAAACACCATGAATTTAAACTTGATTTGATATTAAGAATAATAACGTTAACATACACGCATATTAATTTCAATTAAGATGAATTTGCTTTCTCATATTTTTATACTCACACTCACATCCATCTTCCTAAGTTAAAAGCATTAAAAATAGTTCGAAACAAACATTTTATATAAAATATGGTAAAATCGTAAACTAACTGCAATAATAAGAAAATTTCCCTAAAGCGATTTCAAAAAGTATATACTTTTTGACATACAAAATATACGAATGAAATACAAAAATAATGAATAATATTTTTATATGTTAAAGTATGTACGAAAGAATCCATATATGCATATATCACAAATAGAACTTGTAATATAGAACTTGTAAAGAATAACAAAATGAAAATGTAAAACACAAGTAAATTTTACAGTTTTTATTTCAAATGGACTGACTTTATTAAGAAGGATCCCTATTGTTTCCTTTTTTTTCATCCTAGTGATTTTTCATTTTTTTTTCTTTTTGTTTGTACTTTTTATAAAGTGTTTGTATTTGGTCGTATCCTTGAAATTAAAAAAAAATTCTTAATAATTAAGAATGAATGAAATGCTGTTTAATTGTTTATGAAACAAAAGCCTGAGTGACATAAAATAAATAAAGAGAGCATAAAAATTAAACAAGAAAACAATGAAGTGCAATTTTGTACATAAGGAAAAATTTTAAAATTTCACGTATAGTTGGAATATAAAAATAAAATGGTCTTGCATTTTAAGCTTGAGGGAAATTTTAATTTTCAATAAATTATCACGTTGTCTTGGAAGTTTTTCTTTAAAACCTTTAAAACACAAAAAAATTATTGAATATTTCTTTTAAACACTCCAGTTTTTGTGAACACAAGACATTTGAATTTTTAAAAGTTAGACTTTTGAAACAATTAGGAACAAGTTTTTTTTTTATATTTTAATTGTGAAAAATTTGCATTTATAATTTCTTAATTTCTTAAATTTAGAAAGAGACAATGTTTCAAGAAAAATTAATTTGAATTCACTTATATTCAAGAAAAAGATGTTTACAAATTGTAGGTACCAGAAGCGGTAATCTTAAATGTCTTCCAGATTTAATTCAGAAAATTGTTATTATCGCAGATGGAAGAAGGCCTTGATTCGTCAAAATATTATCATTTCCCTTGTTTCAAAAACCAAGTCTTCCGTTTTGTAAGACATTGGTTTCCAAACGCCTTATTTTAATTTTAAAAGTAAATTTTGATTAACAGTTTTTAGGCAATTAATATAAATAAAAGCAACGCCTAAGTATGGGCAAAGAAAAATTCGTTTTGAAATTTTAACATAACTATTAAGTTAATTCTTTTGTTCAGATTATCCCAAAAGAAATATAAAAAATTTGGTTTTTGGTAGGAGCCAGAAGATTAAATGACAATTAAGATTAAGAAATTAACTGGAATAATTTTCCATTTATTTGTAAAGCTTAAATAAATTTCTGCTTAATTTGATAAATCAATTGAACCAACACAATTGAATCGATTTGGCATTAACTGAAGGATCGTTTTTTTAAAGTATGAAATTAATTGAAAAAGAAAGTCTTTATAAATTGAGAAATAAATTAAAAAAAATTTATTAAATTTGTAAGAAGATTATGTATGGTCCTTGAAAGCTTATAAAGTCTAAGCAATAAATTGTAAAAAACTGAGCTAAGCCTATTTTTACGAGAGTTAATGTAAATAATTTAAGTTTTGGAAGGCCTTTTTTATGTTTATTTTTTATATTTTTAATTTTTATAGACATTTTAAAGGATGTTAAGAAATATATGTTCAAGAAAAATCAATGCCCTTCACCATATCTGAATTTTATACACAACTTAATGACATTATATATTATCAATACTTTTATGAAATTTTTATTGTTTATTCTTAAAATTTTCAAGGAGGACTCTAATAAATAAAAAAAAACGAAACTTTCATCTCGTTCTTCTAAGACATTATACTTTTTTTCACGTTTTTTTCCCTGTTCTCCTTAGATTATAGTTCTTTTTATGTGCTTTTGCATAAATTATATTGTTATTTATGTCACGAATATGAACCTAAACCCCCACAACTTGTGATATGTATTTACATATTATGTGTATAATCTTAACAATATAACATTCTAATAATGTGGATACGGTTCGAAATCTAATAATATGAGTGTGTAGTATATGTATATGTTTACTTATATGAGAAATGAATAAGTTTTCACGCGAATTCAATTTGCATGTTCAAATAAAATTCAATTTACTCAAAAGAAAATGTTTGTAGAAATTTATGTACTCGTATGAATATGTATATACACATAATTTAAAAAAAGCATATAAAGGAGTATGTATGAATATGTATGGAATGTACAAGGAAATTTTTATCGTTTATATGCATTAACATATACATACCTATTGTGATATTTTACGTGATTTAGATTACAATAAAATAAACAAAATCAAATTTACTAGAAGCTCCTTAACACACCAATTTTTACGTAGAGCATTTTCTTTTCTTTTTTTATTTCGCTTAAAGAAAAGTGTAATAAAAAGCTTCGATTGAAGATTACAGAAATTTAATAATTGGTAAATTTTATTGCAATATAATACTTGAAACTGCTAAGGAGCAGCTGGGAATAGTTTACAAATGTAACGCTTTTTTGTTTGCAAAAACTGTTATATACTTATAGATTTAAATACTAATAATTTGACTGAATGAGCTGATTTTCTATACAACCACATGGAACTATCTACTGGCACATAGGTGTATAACTACTCTTTTAAACTACCCGCTTGCATGTACAAGCTGTTGTAAATTGTACACACTAAGAATATTATGTAAGTTTAGACTAGAGTCTTATGTACCTGTAAAAGGATACATACAACATTCGTATATATGTTGTATATTTTATACAACATTCGTATAAAAATGTATGTAAGTATTTTTATATATAGGCTACAAAATTTTCCTCCCATACAATGCAGAGGATTTTATAAAAATTTTAAGCATATATGAGTGCATAAAGTATTCCGTTATGTTTCAATAACTCGCAAAAACAAAATACTACTTGAACTATTTTCAAAACCATAAAAACACAAACAAACAAACAGAGAAATGGAAAAATATTTTCCTTATAGTTTTGTACTCGCTTTAAAAACTTTTCAAGTGGCTTCAATGCTTAAAAATGCAAAATGCATAAAATGTTTTTCTTTCTTGTTTTTGCTTTTCAATTGATTTATTTTTGTTCTGGGATTTTTGTTTTTTGCATTTATGAAATCGGTACATAAAATTGTTATTCAAGGATAATTCTATTCTTTGGTTTTGATGTTTATTTACTCTTTCTCTCTCCCTCCCTCTTTCTCTCTCTCTTCATATATGTACATATACATATATTATAATCCTTTTAAAATACTATAAGAATAAATTTTTGAAATCTTAAAAGGATTTTTATTTTTCTTCTTTTTCCCTCAAGGTTAGTAGTTTATGTATTTCTCCGGTATGTCAATGCCTGCAACACATAAATCTAATATAACCATATACCAATCACTATACACAGTAACGGTATTAAAGCAATACAGAGAATACAAAACAAAAAATCTAATTCAATCATAATGTTGTTATAAAAAAATAAAAATTAACTCACCTGATGGTGTTAAGGGATTATGATCACATTTATTGGTATTACCATTTGTTATACCGTTTGAGGATGATTTTGCAGATGTTGCCGAATTTGTTGTTGATATTGCTGATGATGTACCAGTTGATGATATTGGTGAACCAATATTGTTATTATTATTACTATTGCTATTATTATTGTTGTTGTTATTATTATTCATATTATTATTTATACTATTATTATTTATTGATCCAGATGATGGTGTTTGTGGACTAAGTCCTTGCTGTTGATGATGATGGTGATGATTATGACTGTGATGTCCTGTCATGATTGCGTTATTATTTAAATTATTATTATTACTATTGTGACTATTATTATGATTATTGTTATTATTATTAAGATTGTTTAATGAAGTTGCCGTTAAATGACTACTTTGAAATAAATCACTTATTGAACTAGAACGATTTGTTGTTGTTGTTGTTATTCCAATTTGTTGTGTTCCTGATATACGACGTGTCGGTTTTGGTCCTAAACATATATTTTTCTTTCGACATTTGTCGTTATCTGGATGAAGCTAAAATAAAATAAAAGAAAGAAAAAAATTAATGATTCTAAAAATTTTTTTTATAAATTAATCTGGCATTTCATAAAATTTCATAAATTATACACATATCTACATATGTACATACATATTATGTATATTTATTAATTAATATAAAGAATGAAAATTTGACTTCAATTGTGTAATTTTTGAGACTTTTAATATTTTTATTCCTACATTATTTGTATAACCATTAGTATTTAAATTTTTTTCATATCTTAGTTAAAGAAATCTTTAAACTGAAGACAAGAACTTGTTCTGATTATTTCATTTGAAAACTCTTCTTATGCCTTTTTTTTGCGAATTCCCTTTGTAAAAAATTATTATTGCCCATATACACAACTTATCCTAATACTCACATTTAATGATAAAATATTAAATTTTAAATAATTTTTAATAAGTTGACAAACAATAAGAAAACTAATTTATAAATTTAAATTTGACTTACAAGTTTTTTATAATACACATTATTTAATAAAAGAATCACAAATATATGAAAGAGATTAAAAAAACTCATAAGCAATGGTCGAAAAATTTTTTAATTCTTAAAATTTAATAAAAGATAAATATAACGAATGAGAAATTCGCTTCCAGTTATTCCAAAATTCATTCCATTACTTACAATACAATAAAAAAATCAGACATTGAAATTAAGAAAGTATGGAGGCAATATCATATTAGGGCTTTGAATTATATTTTAATTAATAACAAATGTCAATAATAAAGAATTTTAAAGAGTAGTAAAGTGTTTATGCTGTTTGGGTTCGCTCCTCTATACAAAGATTGTCTATGAATTCAACCGAAATTATAATTTCCAAAAAGTTTTAACAAGTCAATAAGGTTTTAGAAAATTTCTCCTTATTGCAGAAAGCAATGTAAATTTACATTCATATTTAATGCAAAAGTCAGCATCACTCTTTTGACAATGTGAGAAAAATACAAAAGTTAAGTAATTGAAATAAATTTACTTTGATGTGAATTTTTTTTTGTGTGGTTAAGCAAGGATACTACGCCATAAGCACAACCATTTTAGAGACTTGTATAAGCAAATTTCAACAAATAAAATTTTTGAACATTTTTCAAAAAAAATACTCAATTTATTAATTAAATTCAAAGTTTTTCTCTTTATATCAGTAGGTTAATGTTTGAATATAATTTTTTATATATAAAATTTAATTGTTATACGATTTTCTAAACTTTTATTACGATTCTTGTTAATTTAAGAGTGTTAATAGGCATTTCTTTTTAATTTTCATTTCCTTTAATTTTTTTTTGACTTAGTTTTTTTACGGCAATTTGTAGTTATACAAATGTTTTACAGATTTTACCCATATAAATTTATGTTATAAAAAGAAAATTAATTTTAAATGTTATACTTGTTATAATACTCTTTTCTTGCTGTTAAATTAAGCAAATAAATTTAATTAATAGAATCAATATAAAAAAGCTATTAATAAATATTTAGACTACATTATATGTACATACATAATATGTCAGTACAAGTATTAAAAATTTTTATGTAGTACAAAATGATCTAGTTTAAGATAATTAATTATTTTTAAGGTAAAATTTCAATAAGGAATGAGCAATATAATAATGACTAATTTGTATAATACAGTTATACGATTTTTGTGTTCTAGTTTTGAGAAATATCAGTTTTTTTTTAATGTATTTTTCATTACCGCAGGCCAATAATATTTTATAAAAAACAATTAACAATAAACCTAATTAATATTATTTTAACTACGTAAATTGAAATTTAATTGAAAAAGTTTTAATTACGCGTACTAAATATATATAGAAATATATGTATGTAAATATATAATGCAAAATCCATACATGTGTATATACAAATTTCAATAATGCTTTTCTGTACTCAATTTATCAGTTCAATGGAAATTATTCAATTCATACTTTATTCTTACGCTCATTTTTTTTTAATTAGAATATTGAGTCTATTAAAGTATTTTTAATTTCATAGATAAAAATTTAATAGGTAAAAAAATTATCGCAATGACGTAAATAATAAAATATTTTTTAATTTTTAAGCTTAAAACAAAAACGATTTAAAGGAAATTTTAAATGATTGACACTTTTAAGGGCAAAACAAAATTTTCCATGTTAATTTCTTCGTATTTATATATAAAAAAACTTTACGTAATTAAATTTTTAAAATAAATTAAATTAATTTTAATTAATGACTTTGAAAACACTCGTTTTCAAGTTTTAATTTTAATTTGAATAAATTATAAAAAGGCAGAGATTTTTTTAAATATCCGATGAATCTTCTAAACAATATTAATATGTTGGTCGTAAACTACGAACCCAAACTCTTTACTTATAATCTAACGTATTTTCTAAGCAGAAAATAAGAAAAAATTATTAGAATAATTAAACAAAATTAAGACGTAGAGAATTAATAATAAATAATTCATAAATATTAAACAAATTTCATTTGCTAACTCAATAATTTTGCATTTTGGTTCATTGGTAGTAAGCAGCCAAATATTTGATTCCTCTTGGAAAATGATTAATAACTTAGAATCGTCTTTAAAAATAATTGTTGTAGAAATTATTTATCAATTACTTGTATACTCATTCAGTCCAGGAACTTACATATTATATATATATAGCTCATATTATTACATAAGTGTTGATTATTTAAAGCACATATTGAATGTATGAGAATTATTCTTTTTTTTCTCATACACACATGAATTGCTTTTAATAATTTTGACCTTTAAATTATTAAAATTTTAAAAATATACTTGTGAACGTTTAATATTTTTTTATTTACATTTTATATTTTTCTGCACCACTTTGCATAATATCAATTTCAAGTTCAAAAAGATGATAATTATTATTAAAAATAAGAATTTTCAAGTACTCATAATTCAAAAAAAAATATGTAAAAATAAAAATTGACTGACTGAGAATGATTGACAACTCAGACACCAACAGTTTTTTAGCACGAAAATTAAATTTATTTCCTTGAACTAAATTTTTTTTAAATATTCTCCAACTTATTGATTGAAAATTAATGAAATTTTAAAAAAATTAATAAAATTTCTAATTTTCTCAAGAATATTAAAAAATAAAATTTCATTTTTTCTCAAGTGCTGGAAGATAAAACCATCTAGTCATGATATTCATTGTTTGTATCTAAAATTATATGTTTATAATCATGCTCCTGATATGTTTTATATTGCATAATCGAATACGCTGTCAATAATTAGCAACTTAATTAAAAATACATGCGGACCCTATACATACTCGTATAATACATATAAAATATATAAATAATTATATAGTTATTAACATACATACATACATATATAGACAGGCATACATATATATTGTTATCAACACATTTTAATCTCGTGATTTGATCAATATTTGTGTCATCATACTGACACAACATTAATGAAAATATGTATAAAAAGTTATAAATAAAATTTCATATGAAAAATAAAGAAAAACCAAAAAGTCAAAACCTATATGTAAATAAACTTTTCCATATTGAATTAATTTTTTTCTATAGATTGAAGTCCAAACAAAAAATCAAAAGAAGTAAAAGCAAAAAAAAAACAGAAAGAAAATTTGCAAAATAAAAATAGAATTTTCCATCTCAATCGAAAACAACAAATACAAATAAAGTAAGTTGAGAAAAGCATTAAAAATAAGTTTTTCTTCTCATTCAGAACAGATTTTGTTTACAATTCTATTACGGTCAAACCGATCAATATTGACCATCAGATATATATGAAAACTGAAAATATTCCAAAAATATAATATAAAAGATAACCGTAAGTTAAATTATTTTTTCTCACAGGTTGGATCATTCGCTAAAATCTGAATATGTGTCACAAGAAAATAGGTCGATATTTTAATACTTCGGTAAAAAATAAAGGAAAGCCAGAATTTTCCTAAGAGAATTAGATTCGTACTAAATCTATAGGTTGGACTAGAGTTACGATTGCCCATTCAAAGTCACCGCATAAAAAACAAGTTTGTAATAGGTTTATTTGCAAGAATTTACAAAATTATGTTGATTTTTAAGAATATGCATGTTATGTGTGCGTCGAAATTTTTTTAACGTTTAAGAAATTACTATTTAAAGAACCAAATTTCTTTCCAGTCTCTTTAAAATAAGTTTGAGTATGTGTTACTGTGATTGTAAACATGAGAGCGCACCACCAAATTGGAACAATAATTCTCATCAACGAAATGAACCACATTCGATATAAAAACACAAACTAATTTGTCGAGCGATGGGTGCAACGTCCAAAATAAGTAAATCACTTCCCATTTAATTTATATTAATTTCAAATTTGTATGTTGTTTTCTCCCTATATATTAATAATATCAGTGTTTTATATGACAGAGACACGCTGTGTGCCATCCAAGTAAAGTTTGTAGATAACTTAATGTCATATTAAATAAATATTTATCAATATGTATGTACGAGTATGTATGTAAATTCATACAGATGCTCTGAAAGTTTCAATTTAATATTTTTTTAATAACTATAAAAGATATGGAAATTATACAATCATGTTTTTATAGGAAAAAAAAAGCAATAATCGATGTTGACCTTCTTACCCAGATCTTTACAATTTACATTTTTTTCTCATACAACCTATCTCACAGACGTTTTGCGACTGATTCCAATTTTAAAAATACATAATTACAATCAATTAACATTATTTCGCGTTGGTATGTACACATGTGCAAGCGTAAATCAATCAACAATAAATCAGAATAAGAATAAAATTTTACAATAATGATTTTTTTAACATCGCGTGTAAGATTCTATTTTGTTAGTATAAATTTTTTTGTACCTGAAGTTATAACTGTTAATTTTTGTTTTATATCATTAATTTCTTTTGAAGATTTTAGAAATCTCAAAATATTGAGGTTGACGGACGGGTATTCATTATTCTTATTTCATTGTTGAGCAAGTTTTATGAGCT